CTCGCGGCAGCCGGGAATGTTTCCGAAAGTCTGCCATTTTAGTCTAGAATTGCTTCGGTTCTTGTTTGCTTTGCAGTCTTCTCAGTTGTATAAAAGCTTAAAGTGCCTCTTCACATTTCACAGATCGCTTGCACGTTTGTACTTGTCTACGGAATAGGCTGTAATAAACTTTTATGAGAATTGCAAACAATTTTTTGTGTCTGTTTTCCTGTCCATTTGAAAGCAAATGCGCGAGCCCATTTTTTCTACGTGTTTCCTTCCTGTTATGAATAGGCTTATGGGTCTCGGGATGTCTTAAATGAGTTTAAGATAACCAACCTTCCGGACGATACGCAGTTAGGGCTAGCTAATGATTTGCTCATTCGAATGGCGTGTTCAAATGTGTGGTCACGTGGCTGGTCGAACGAGCACCCGTATCAAACGGGCACCTGTATGAAACCCATGCCGTTTCAAACGGGTACCCGTATCCCATAATCACTTTTGATCCAAACAGGTCGACAAGTTTGCCACCCGTTTAATTCAAACGGGTCGACCGGTTTGCCACCCGTTTAAATTTCAAATGTTTTTTTTCAGAAGGGGTGTGCTTCGTGCGATAAACTGTGAGGCGATGATGCGATCACGTCTTCATCTACGGCATCAACATCATCAACGCACGTTTAGTTCTACCAGTCATAAGTTTACTTAGATAGACTTATTAATTTGCCATGTTTTATCATTACCGTTGCTTCCATGGAAGGTCATCCGCATTGAGGTGACGCCTTCCCACTAATTTTAGAGTTTAACCAGTATCGCGTCATTCTCATTGCATTCACCGCGGTGGAAGCTCGAAAAAGCTGACTGGACACGTTTTAAGGAATCACTTCTTTTAGTTGTTTGATCTGTACATCAACTTTCAATCAATGAAGTAACAGACTATATCACAAAGCATATCCTGGAAGATTTAATGATGTCCTTACCGATGACGTCCTCCCATCTTCCTTAGAGGCCATAGCCGTGGTCGAACGAAGACTGCCGAGAGGCTGAAAATAAACGAATGAACGCGTGGGAAATTTCGGGGCGATATCCTACACCGAGCCACCTTATTAATTAAAAAAAATGAAGCAACAAGCGAGGTATGTCCGAATGCACGCTAAGCGTTGAAACTTTAGAAGCCTTTCTTCACATACAAGCCACCTTTATGCATATACTTCATTTTGTATGTACTGAATAAAAAAACCAGGCACCACTCAAACTGGTCAACATGAAGTCATATTGATGGCTGCAAATGAATGGCAGAGTTTGACGTGTTGGGAGCAAGGAGAAACAACCTACTGCCCACGGCTGCCGGCTTATCAGGAGTCAGTGCCCTCTTCGGAGCTGCTCGCTTCAGCCGCCTGCAGGGCTGCCCCGTCACGATTCGGCGCTGCAGGTTTAGAGCATCAAAACCGCCTTTGCCACGCCTTTGCAGGAGATCGAAGCTTGAGCTGCATTAAAAATAAAGGAGATTTAATGCTACAAGTTCTTTTTGGGGAAGTTGGGCCATCATAAATGGGTGAGTAAAAATTTCAATAATAAGTCCCCAGAGAAAAAAAAAACAGTATGAATTTTATCACGGTAACATTCAAACTGGACTATCCAACCACGAATCATACTGTAAAGTATGCATACCATGGAGGCTCGCCAAAATTAAAGATACTCTCGTTATTAGCCTAGTGATTATTTTCTGGATACAGGATTGTAGATTCTGACTGACATGAAAAAACTGCACTTTCTTAACAAGTCGCAGTCATGCGGTGGACACTGTCCAAGAATATCAAAGCCTTTATGGGCAGGCCTTCATTTTCAAATAAGCCCCGATATTGTCACGAATGACAAATGATGAGGCGGCAAATAACTGGGGAACTAAACGTTTAAGGGGGCGAACTTGTGCTCAAACCAAAATAGAAGAAGCTTAGCGTCGCAGGCGTCGATGTCGGTGAAACTGCATGATCAAACGCTGGGGCGAGACTAACTCAGGCTCGCCACGCGGAGCCTCACATGTAGACGCGTGGGCTTCTGGAACAATCGGCGTAGAACATTCTAAACTCAAATAAGCGACAGGGTTCTCAAATTTGTCTGAATGTGACATTACGGAAACAACAAAAAGGTGAATCAGCGGCCAGGCATCAAACCTTGGTTTTTCGTGTGGGAGGCAAGCACGGTAACCGTAGGCACACGGTAGCACAGCCAACTAGGCCAGGCAATTTAATTTATTTTTTTTTTAAATAAGGTGTGTTTGGAAGCATTGGGGTCCTGGCATGCCACACATTTTTTTCTAGAACTTTGTGACTCTTATTTCTGTACCTGCAAGTAAATTTGCGAAACCGAAACAAACATTCAGATTTCTTCCCTTTTTCGCCTCTGGAAAAAGAAGTGACGTCAAGGAGCACTGTCGGCATCGGTAGGATTTAGTGCACACTCGGTGTGGTTCCCGTGGTTCGCTCTAGTGCACGGCGGTCTGTGAAGAAAACCTGGAAGAAATGGACAACAACGCCGCGCTCGCAAACGCGCTCGCAAACGAGTTCGAGCTCCCGTTCAGCGACCTCACGCCGACTGAACGGGAGATGCTGCTAAGGACGCAGAGCTCTGGATTGGCGCTTTACGAGGGCGCCCCAGACCTACCACCGACTCCTCGGTCGCCGCCTCAAAGCGACTCCCCGCCCCACTCGCCGACGCCGCCGCAATGCCGCTACGGGAACACGGAATGGTAAGGCTGTAACAACGTGCCACATATTTCATGGTTGATGTATCGCTTGCTTAATTTCCCGGGTGTCCCCTTTGAAGAGCATATTGTAATCGTTTTTAAGGCACATGATCATTATAGTCGTAGTCGATCGGAGCGCACGAGTACCGCTTCTATTTTGTCGCGCTGCCGCTGCTTCATAATTGGCATTCTTTACGCTGTCACGATTATCAGGCTAATCAAACCAAGTGCATGTGCCAGCCACTCCAACTTCCGTCTTGCAATGTTTATACTCTACATGGCTTGTGCGTGCCGTCACTCTGCAAAGCAAGTGGTTATTTCTACTTATTGGTAGCTGCGAAAAGATAAATTTAATTTCCCTTCCTTGCATTTATTTTGCTGAGGAGAATTGTTATTACAGCAGGAAGGCCTGGCCGGGTGAATCTGTAAATACCCACACCTAAAATTAAGAGTAAAACTATATGGTGTAGGCAGCGTTGTTGCGGCACCACAGGCCTCAGGTACAGGCTAATAGCCTTTCTGTGGTACCGCAACCCTCGTGGGTGGAATAAAGATATTATTGTTATTGAATCTATACTATTTCCATCCGTCACCAAATCACATGATAAGCCGAGAAAATTGCGAACAGCGGTAGACGCGTTAATTTACGCTATGTTTTGGATTTCCATCGTAAACCGGAGACACAAAAAAAAAGGACAAAACAACATGTGTTGAGACTTGTTTTCTTCTCCGTTTTTTTATTTTTTTTTTATTTTGTCGTGTCTTCGGTTTTCGATGGAAGTTCTTCACCAGCTCGCCTGTGCTTTTACCCTTTCTACGTTTTGGAAGGAGCCTGCCCTTTTTCGATTGCAAAAAAGACACAAGTTGCATTATTTGTGAATTGTCTATTCGCCGAAAGAGTATCCGATTTCCAAAGTTCCTTCCACGGTGCATTAAATTCTTTTCAAACACCACTGCATGCTTCTTTTGGTATTATTTGCATAGCTTTTTTAAAACACCACTGCTCGCTTTTTTTGTATTAGTTTCAATTTTATTTCAAAAGACTGTAGCTCACTTCTTGTGATGTGTCTCACATGAGGTTGATGACCATTGCGATCTCAACAGTCTTGCTGTTACCTTTTAGGTGCAGCTGCAACAACTGCGGTATTCTCGAGAATGGCACAGAGGGAGAGTGCATCTGCTGTCGTGAGATGGGCACGGCGCTGACGCGGGTTCAGCCAGCTGGGTGCATCACGGAGCACCCGGAGTTCAGCATGCTGTGCCTCAACATCCCTGTTCTCCGTCTTCTCTACTTCGAGCTAAGGGGGCTGGGGTATCCTATGCACGACGATATTCACAGGTAAAACAGGTGCCATGGCTGTCTTCCCATATTGTACCATCTAATCAAACTTAGGAAAGCCACGGACTTCAAGGATTATCGTTTATTCTTATGCGGGATGTAACTTAACATTTTGTCCTGCATTTTTGTTCTCGAAAGTGCCCGTTCATTCTCACCCCGAACGCTCTCACCTGCTCTTACGCCGCCGAATCGCCACCTGCTATTCTGCTATCCCGACGCTCATTCTCTATTTTGTTTACTTGCACAAGTTCGCCAATTAAACCTTTATTTTCAGTTCACATTTCCCGAGCCTTTTTTCCATCCGTGACAATGTTTGGTCGGTGTAAAACTAATTTTTCTATGCCAAGTCAATGTGGAGACATGCAACAGATTCAATTCCCACATCATTCAGAGTAGGCTTCATGTCCTGCAATGTGTGCACTTCATAGCAAGCAAATCTCACTCGGTTGAAGATTGGCATGTGCTACACTTGCATATTGTGCTCTCTGTGAAAGGTCTGCAAGCAGGGGTCACAGTGCTGCTGACAGCTGAAAGTTTCAGTTGTTGGGGACCAAGTATTCTAAGAATCAGTCATAGTGCTCAATTAAAAACAAAAATCTAGGGACACTGCAATTTGAACGTTCACTTTGATTTTCTGTCTGTATAATGCGACTAAAATAACTGAAACCTTTTTCTGTTGATTTCAAGTGTGTCTTCACTACAACGGCTTCTTTTACTGCAGACGCTATCGCTACACTGCATACCGAGTCTTCGTCCGCTGGTTATGGAGACGACTTGGAAAAGGGAACCGGATGATTCTGCCGGCATGTGTAGTCTGCAGAATAAGAGAGGAATTCCCTTCTGAAATTACTACCGATTTCAAGTATCCCCGCTACTAACTTGTAAGTACCAGAACATTCGTAAATAAGCTTTGTATGAATGAATAAATATATTGGCTGAACGAACATTGGAAAAGAGTGCTCATTGCTCCATGTAGACGATTTTCATGGCTTGGCAGAAAGCTCCACTTTTGTCCAAACCGCACTCTACATAAACACTCAGAGACATGTTCATCCTTGTCTAGCCGTCTCCCTCAAGGGACGGCTTGGCGAACCTTCTTCTGTGCGCAGATACCAGTTCTTCCTTCGATGGCCTTGGTACTGGGCTCCCAAAGGCCGGAGGAACTTTTGGAGACTTTTCGGCCAGTGCCTCTTTGAAAGTAGGAAATGTCTTGCACCGTTCCAGGACTTCCTCATGTAGCCGGTCCACATACTCTGAAATTCAAGACAAGGTAGTGTAGGCCAGTGCTTCTTTGAAAAGTGCTCCTGTCATTTGACCATAAGTGTTCTAAAGTCACGACACAAATTTTCAGTCGTTCTGAATATTGCACTTTGTCGCACAGCCAGTGATTAGCACTTGATTTTGATAATGCTATATTTTTTTAGAAACATTTCATGATTTTTTGCCATCAGAAACATATAAAGTAGGCTATACTCCATTTATCCCTTCTGGTGAGACTGCGGTGAAAGCTACGTCCTCGTTGGACCAGTCATACGCCTCTTCCGCCACGTCATTATGGCCCGCCCACACCTGCGCTCAGAAAGCCGGCTCGGGTGATGAAAAGGAGGAAGGCGGTTGATTGGTTCGGCGGGCACGTAGCTCCCACTGCAGTCTCAGCTTAAAGGTGAGCGAAGTATAGTGCATCCATAATTGTTATGGTGACCTTTTCATACAGTTAAAATTCTATATGCAGTGTAAATTCTATATTGTAATGAGCTGCACTTACCAAAAGTCACGGGGGTCATCCGGGGGTACACAGTGGTTGCACCTTTTTGGGCTTTTGGCGATTTGATGTGCCATTGCTCTTGCCCTTCGTTCGTGACAGCTTGCAGGCGGCTACTGTTTTCGTTAAAGTGGAGTATGGCGATCATTGTTCTGGAACATAATTGAGGCTGTTTAATTGCTGCTCATGTCTTCACCTTGTGTTAAATAAAGTGTGCAATACCCTAGTTACACGGGTGCTCTCAACAGCCTTTGAGTCAACGACAGTCGACCCAATCGCGATCGGCCGGAGTTACACGGAGGCGCCAACTGTCATTGAGCTGCTAATGACAGTTGAGTTCAACTCGGCTCCCCTATTTCAGTTTAACTGAACGGACTTCCCCAACAAAGTTAAAATGGTGCTTGTCCGTAGGACCGCTGCCGCCGACCATTGTTTGCGAGGCACTTACTGTTTCGGAATACAGGAGAATGCGTCTAGAAAGACTCTTAGCAGCAAAATATCCGGGAGGGAATAGGTTTAGGCGTCAGAGCTGCCGCTAAAACAGTCCCGACAAGCCGGAAAGCCACCAAACGATCGCAGATGGAGGAGGGACCAGCTGTATAAGTGGACAAATAGTAATGGGTGCACCCATCGTAGTGGGCGATAGCTTACACCACCTAGCGTAAAATATGTGAAACCTAGCCCTGAATCTGTTTTGGTACTTGTGTAAACTCCGCTAAAAAGCAACAATGTATTGAACATAATGTATGATATATTTATAATAAATAAAAGGTGTGTCTCCGAGTAATTACTTCAACAATTAGACTGATCACGTAACACAAGGACTAGTTTCATTTTAGCTTCAGCTGGGTTCTAGAGGGCCGTGTTGCACCATCTCAGTTCAGTTTAGTTCAATCATAGTTTAGGCCGATAACTGTGATTGAACTCCACGACAGTTCAAATCGCCCATGTAACTAGGGCATAAGAAAATCTTTTTGCGACTATGTCTAAAAGTTTTTTTTGGTCTCAAAGAAACTTCAACTGCGAGTGCTGTTGTTTTGGCTTGTCACAGTCCCCTCCTTACACCTAGCTTCCTTACCGTGCAGCCATGCCTTCATACGAGAATGCTGTCGATTTGGGTGCAAATCCATTCAGCACGTTATGGAATGATTCCAACCCATATGTTTGTGCATTAGGAGACAGCTGCTTCACATCGTTTGCAAACAAAGGTGCATTTGCGATGGCCTTCAGTTTCGTGTGGGCGGGTGAACCTGGGGAAATTGGAGCATTCAGTAATACAGCGTAGATTAGAGTTCATTGAAACATTTTTTAGCAAACCACAGTAAAAAAACGTAAGTTTTAATTGGTTTTTGGGGGGCTATCGATTAGATTCACATAGACGTCCATGGCTGTGCAGGGCTAATTTTACAAATATCTGTTAGCTCGTCTTTCTTTGGACGCTTTCCTTTAAAATTAGTGTTCGGCCTATAATCGTAACCAAACAATGTATATGTGTGCAAAAGTAACTTTTCCAAGTCCATGGAGCCAACACAGATGCTCCCCATATCAGCCGCTTCTCCGAGCTAAAAGTGAAAGCATTGTAGCTCGACTACGGCACAGAGAAACTTTAAGTCAGCAGCGAGGCACGAGTGCTACTGCATGCTTGAGTCAACAGTAATCATATGGTCTTATCAGGCTGCGTTTCATCACAACAGCGACAGTCCAAGCAATAGACACTTTGCGTATCTGTGAAGTTTATTTTCAGTGTTCCCCATGTAAAATAACCAAGTTTGATTCCACACTAGTCGGCATCTTGTATATAACTAATATTTTTTAGCTCTTACGATGTAAATCTAGTATAATAATATGGTACAAACCAGGCACAATCCACTGTTTGTCTCCAACGTCCTTCTGTAGGCACCGTGGGTAGAGCGGACCATGGCCCGTGTGGATATTGCAGACATGGTTCGTGACACTCGACCATGCTGCGGCAAGCAATTCACCATTGCCACCGCTAGCAGTAGCGCACCCCCACAAGTGCTTGCACACGGGGCTCACCCAGGCTGCTAGGTCCTTGCAACCTGCACATTTGCTGCCTGCAGCCAACTTCTTCCTGATCCCTGCAGTAATATAAGTTCCAGGACAAAAATGTTTGCTTGATGTTAACAACCCACTTCCGAATGCCCTACTTTGCATGCAGTGCAAGCAAGCTTTACCCAGAGAGAATTCCCAGAGAGAATGGCTGCAGCAATAGTCTCATGCCATGAGGGGAATAGGGAAGATTTAGCCTCACACTCCAGCTAGTCGCAGGATAATTGTCGTCAGAGGCTGTGGAATGGCCAGTTTTATTCGCTTCTCTGTAAAGTGTTTTTTTATGAGGTGTGCCGGTATTTCATCTTTCCTCTGCTCACTTGGAGAGACCGAATAGAACAGTTGGTAATGGAGATTGCTTTTAAACAATTTATAATAAGCACAACAGTAATATCGCAGATGGTTCTAGGGTAGGAAATAGAACACGCAAAAGACAGAGCTGTAGGTTGGTCTTTGTTATATTGAAAGACAATGTTCGCATTCACCTTTCACAGCGTGCCACACGTCAAACAGATGCAGGATTGCGGGCTGGTGTATTCTCATGTAGGCCTTTATGCTCGAGTGCCTGTCAGTCGTGAACGAGCGAATCAGGACGTTCCTCGATTTCAAGAAAACAATTCCTCGTGCGCAGCCTTCCTTTTCCATGTTGCTGCTTGCACTTACTTCGGGACACTAAAAAGAAGGAAGTTCTTTATGGAAGGGTCAAAAATATTGCACACTTTGTATCTTTGTCTTGTTCCTGTGTTTTTTGAGCCAATTGTTTTTAGTATTATTGTGAGGGTTCTTACTTCCTTGACTTGAACCAGTTCGGTGTGGACAATCTTGCCCAATCGATGCGAGTAGAAACTGTATGTCATGTACTTCGCACTGTGTCCCGGAGAATCACATCGTCCATCTCCTGACAGATCCACGGGCTCTCCCGCAAGGGCTGTCAAATCCTCGTCTCGTTGCCTATCCCAAACCTGGAAATATTAAAGAAAGGGTGTGGCAGCTGTAACAGTGCAGTTAAAGGGAGCTGTATGATAATGAGACAACACAAAAGTGCATCAACAGTTTTGTATGATCAAATCATAAATGTGATACACGCTACTGATCTCTGCATCTGGGACAAGGGTCGCCAAAAGGAAGTGCCCAATGTGTCTTTCATGAGAGAACATGTCCTATCACTCATAGTAGGGTATGCTGCCATAGCATTATGCCGGCACACGGCAGAAAGCGTTGCTGCAGAGTAAGTTACACTATGCTTGAATCAGATGAGGGATCTACAAACCGTTTGCACAGCAGGGTGGAGGTAAGCTTGTTGATAATCGTGGAATCTTCGTTCTGAGATGACCCTAATATTCATGAGGCGCATCATTCTGAGAGCTGGTGCAGGGCTAGAGCCGGAAAACAGCAGGATAGATGCAATATCGATATTTCCAGCCGGTTTCCGTCCCACGTATGGTTGGCTGGACCAGGTGTGCGAGTGGTTCTTAGGGCAGAGGGTCGTCACAGTGAGGCAGCTTCCACTCAGATGGAGGGATGGCTTGGACGGAGCATAGCATGTCATGCAGAGCCTAAAGCACTCTAGGAGGCAACTTTCATATACAATGTACTTGTTTTCACCCCGAGGATGGCCTTGTTCGGTTTCTTCGTCATCCCTGCAAAAGTAAGCAAAACAAATTTAGGAGAACGACCCCAACCCTGAAAAGGTTAGGTACAACAGGTTGTCTTTAGGTTGCCCAGTTTTCAGTTTAAACATGCTTTCTTAACATACCGTGGTGCATGTGTTCTGATGACAGACAAGTCGAGAACCACTAAGTGCGGCATGCTGGCCCAAAGGTGGGGCAAACAAATAAGCTATTTAGTCATTTCTATTTCATTAGTCACTACAAATCCTTTGCAAATTAACAAGCAGGTGAGTGGCATTTGGCAACTTCCAGTTTCTTAAAAAGTTCTGTTTTGCTGTTGACAAATGAAGACGATCTGCAAGCCTGTCTAAGCAAAGTTCTGAAAACTGCAATCTGGAGGTTTCAGAAACATGCTTGCACAGGCTTGCAGTTCATTGTTGTCGTTTGTCAACGGTGAAACAAAATTTCCAAGTAACAGGAAGTTGGAAAACGCCCCTCACCTATCGCTGAGGCCTGTATACACAAACTCATTTATGTTACGTCACGGCATGGTGGTGGCGCATTGGGCGCACTTCGGGTCTGGGGCTGTGGGCGGAAGTCCCCGTGTGAGACGTGTATTCCTGCATTGTTTTGTAAGGGACCAGACAAAAACCTGCTTTCTCATCAAAACGCCGCGACTGGGGCTGTACCAAAAGAGTCAAGAAAGGTGTGAAGGTCAGTTTTCATGTGCTCAATTTATCGGAAAACGTGGATATGTGGCGTGAAAAAAGAAAAGCAGACGCCGTCGGACCATGATTGCTTGGGCGGGAAGCGCCTTACGTTGAATTCATGGATACTTGTGGTCATCAGATTTGTTTGTTTTGTTCCAACATGAATGCCGGAAATCGCGTATCACCTCATCGCATATCACCTAGCATTGACCAGCATGCAAAAGTGGGCCTTTTTTTCACTCGAAATACAGCATTCCTTAAATCTTTTTTCCCGGCGAAATCTGTGGACTGGAACGGGCCTGCCCGAAGCCATCGTCTTTGCTCAAGACATCGATTTGTTCCGCCAAATGTTAACCTTGCTATTTTTTTAACTCACTCTCTTATGTAATACCCTGACTCAGGGTTATTAAGGTATATAAATAAATAAATAAATCAATAAATAAATAAAAATGGTCAAGTTGTACGGTTGTACGGACCACCTGTGGACTACATTCAGTGCGTCTTCAAGTTCAAACGGCCGCCTGATCGTTTGAACTGTCGCCTGCTCTTTCAAACACTTCTGCTTGTCGTCTGCTCTTTTAGACAACACCGGTCTGTAGACCAAATTTTGGCTCGGTGCTTGCGATAAGAAGCAAGTGCAGGCCTCAAAAGACTTCGGTTTGAAGGTTGGTAGGCAGGCTTGATGTAAACAGTAGATACAAGGAGATGTTGATCATTGTTGCCAGTGGCCATCACCAACTTGTTAGGCCTGATTCACTTCGTCCGATTCTGCTTGCGATTATCAGTATCGACGTCGACCATCTCGGCTTTGGTTCATGCTTTTGCAGCCCGAGCGACGTTGCGACTGAAAATGGCAAGCGAAGTCTCCCCATGCGAAACAGGCTTTAGCGTACATTCTACGGCATCCATGTTATTCACGCGAAGTTTTGCAATGTAACAAGCCTCATTAATTTCGCTGAGGTTGCTCAAGTACCGTAGTCACATTTCCAGGAAGACATAGAATCAACGATTTGAATGCAAAAATGGGCAGGGGGACTCACACTGACGTCGACATCGCATTACAATGGTTTGGTTTTGGGCGACGGCGAGCTTTTTCGCCCACACCCATCGTGCGTGCGCGGCTCTGTGGCGTCCACTAGGGGCCCTCCGGTTTGTTTGTAAACATGAGTTGGTGTATACTCACATCTGAAAACTTTTGTCATACGACGGTTCATGGGTTGAGTCGTAGGTTGGATCATAGGTGGGGTCGTCATTTTGACACATGCTCGGTGGCTCCGAACTAGGTGGGCTGGTTGGGGAAGCTGGGCAGTCACCACAGTCGCCAAACGTGTCGTCGTTTTCACACATGCCTGCAGGCTCCGAGCTGGCAGGTGGTGCTGGACCTTTGGAAGGTTCAATTCAATTCAATTTTATTGACCGAAAAAGGTATACAAAATATTGGGAAAAGCATATGAACCCATAGCCGCTAGGCTAGTTCAGGCTCATTAACAAAGCATCACAAGAGCACAGAGCGACAGGCATATGTCATTAGAAAGCAACAAAGGTACTCCCAATCTTGTTACTACATTAGAAGCTAATCTCGGTTACCAATACCAAAGAAACGATGATGCGGATGAAAGATGATCTAGGTAGAAAAGAGGAGATCGTGCCTCAGTGCATTGTTAAAAGTATGCGAATTTCGAAGGTCGATCAATAGGGCCTTCCAGATTTTTGTCCCACAGAATTGGATTAGCCTTTCCCCCTAAACGTTGAGGCTTTGTGGAAGGTTAGTGTGTCCAGAAAATTTGCCCTAGTTTGATGGAAAGCTTTAAGAACTATAGTTATAGGAAATGGGTGGTTTGTGGTCAACATTTTGGTGAAACAGCGTGGCAATTTTGTACTTTACTAGTTTATGAAGTGGAAGAATGCTGAGGTGATAAATAAAATGCTCGATGCCTGTGTATAGTGCGAGTCAGTTATAATCCAAACTGCCTTTTTTGTAAACCAATAATGGGCGTGAGATACATGCTATAGGTTGTACCCCATGTTTCTGTACAGTATGTTAAATGGGAGTGGAATATCGAGAAGTAAATCATTTTTAAGGTTGAAGAGTCGAAGCACTGTCGAGCCTTCAGCAGAATGTCGCAAGCATATGACAGCTTTTGACAAATATAGGCTATGTGATGTTGCCAATGTAAGTGTAAGTCGAATATTACTCTCAGATATTTGAATGTATATACTTGTTCTATAAGAGAGGTGGCAATATAAATTTTGCAGTTAGCATAGTTTATTCGTTCCTTTGGTGGAATATAACACATTTCATTTTTTTTATTCAGCATCAACTTATTATAGCTGCACTAGTCCTAAACAATAATTAGTTCTTCATTGATTATACTATTAATGTTATCCAACGAATTATTTGTGTAGTAAATTGCTGTATCATGTGCGTAAATGCGAGAGATCATTGACATATAATGAAAAAGGACAGGACCCAGCACCGATCTCTGCAGAATCCCTGTTCTGATTGGCCTAATATTTCGTTTATACCGTTTGTGTTTATACCATTAAGAACTGATATTGGCCTATAATTTTCAGGTTCGTTAGCATCATCATTCCCTCCTTCACATTCAACATGTATGGAGCTCAGAAACTCTGATGGCAGTGGCACTTGTTCGGAGATGGGGGATGAGGTTCCATGTAGCCTGTCCAAAAGATCCCACGCATCGCCTGTGGCAGATATGTCTGTCTGCACCGCACGGTCCTGTCGTATAGCCGTGTTCACTTGGACGTCTGAAAAAGATGTTGTGCATTTCAGCTCTTTATTGCTGGAATGCATATAAAACACTGTCAATTCACAATGAAAAGAGCACTTACATGCCGACCGAGTTTGAGGACGCGTCTGTGTAGAAACTGAGCGACACTTGGTTTGAACTTGTATGGCCAGAGTCCTTGTCACCTTTCGTGGCATCTATAAAATAAGTCAGCAGTAATTAGATGATTTGCCAAACTATTTGCAAAATCTTTCTTCGCCATTTTGTAGGTTGTAAATCTGCAACACCACTGACTTCACGTTTCGATTCACAAAACCTTTTCCTTTCACTGGACTTTGCGCAGTGTTCCATGAATTTCTTTCTATCACCAAAAGCAAAATAAATTCCTTGAAAACCAGACAAGGCACATAGAGCTTCTTTCCCTTGTTCCATTCTAACATTTTTTTTTATTTTTTTTTAATTCGCTATGTGCATTGCAGATGACCTCAGTGACCAGGCCATGACTACCTAATTTCCAGGAGATTTGAATTTTTTACCATTGTCTGATTTTAAAGTTCTAAGCGATTTCTGAAAATGTTCAATAAGGAAATAAATGGTGGCTATTGGTGACCATGGATGTTCGCTGTTGGAAACACCATGTATACCATTACTGCTCAGCGCTCTTCTTTGACACACTACAATTGGGATGGCATGTAGGGGGCACAATGCAAGAACTCCACAACCAGCACTGCCTTAGTGTAGTGTACGGACATACCATATGTTTATATATGTGCATAGCAAACTGCCAAGAAAGAAGTAATTGCAACACAAATGTCATGTCACGCTAACGCAAGGTGAAAGTTACAATTATGTCTTGAGATGAAGTCCTGGGCTCTACCCGACGCGACTGGTCAGGGTGGATGCATTGCATTTTCTGTTCGTCAAACTCTGGGGCCGGAATCCTAAATCCCTGGGATATGTATCACTAACCATGGTTGTGCTGCTTTGGTGGATGGCTGTGCTTTGGCTGGTGCAGCTACCATTGCTTGTGTCCTGGAGGGCAGTCAATTTACAGCACAAATGTCATGTCATGGTAACACAAGACGAAAGTTGCAATATTGTTTCAAGGTGAAGTTCTTGGCTCCACCGGACACAACTGGTCGGGGTGGATGCATTACGTTTTCTGTTCGTCACTCTGGGGTCGGAATCCTAAATGCCTGGAACATGTATCACTAACCATAGCTGTGCTGCTTTGGTTGATGGGTGGGCGTTCGCTCGCGCAGCTTCCATTGCTTGTGTCCTGGAGGGCAGTCAAATTACAGCACAAATGTCATGTCATGATAACGCAAGACGAAAGTTACAATAATGTTACGAGGTGAAGTCCTGGGCTTCATCCAACGCCACTGGCCAGGGGGGATACATTGCATTTTCTGTTCGTCAAACTCGGGGGCTGGAGTTATGAATGCTTGGAATATGTATTGCTAACCATGGTTGTGCTGGTTTGGTGGATGGCTTTGCTCTGGCTCGTGCAGCTTCCATTGCTTGTGTCCTGGAGGGCAGTCAATTTACAGCACAAATGTCATGCCATGCCAACGCAAGATGAAAGTTACAATAATGTTACGAGGTGAAGTACTGGGCTTCTCCACCCGACGCAACTGGCTAGGGTGGTTGCATGGCATTTCTATTCATCAAACTCTGGGGTAGGAATCAGGAATGCCTGGATTACAGACAAACCCGTTTATAACTAACAGCAGGAAACGCTACGTTCAGTTCGATATAGCAAAAACATTTACAATGAACTTCCACGATGCGTTCGCTGTAAGGCAAGGGCTACTCTTTCTTTCTCATTGATTCACTTATGCCTCGTAACAATCCCCTGAAAATCTTTTTTTTTTTTTGCGTGCATGCAAAGTGTGTTCTTTTAGCTTACCTCCCCTTTTGAATCGCTTCTCTTCGTAAGCAAACACTTTGGGATGAAAAGTTGTTTTTTTTTTTTCTGTGCGTGCATGCAAAGTATTTTTTTAGCTTTCTCTCCTTCTGAATCGCTTCTCTTCGCAACTTGAGCTTTTGGAATTTTCTTTCTTTTCTACTTCTTGTTTGGGGGGAAGGGGCAGGCTGGAAGGCGATTGTTTGCACGTTTCTAGAAGCCTTCCAGGGGGAAAAGTTCGATATAGCCAATATGTTGTTCGTTATAAAAAGTAATTTTTACATGCATTTTTATCTAAATTCTTCGTGCGTTGATATCAACAATAGGTCTGTTCGATTTGCCTGAACTGGCTGAACTAGTTCAGCAGTGCGGGAACTGGTGCATTCGATTCAACCAGAAGTTGGACGGCCGCTGCACTGGCGCGTTCTATTCATCCCAGTTCTGAACTAGTTCAGACCCAGTTCCTCAAAATCTTGCACCGGCTCCGGAGTCAGTTCAGCGTCCGTGCAGAAGCAGACGGCGATAGCAGACGACACTCCTCGTCCGTCTCTGCTCGCAATGCCACTTTTCGCAGCTCTTGCTCAAATGTCTGCGATGTTTGACAATAACATTGATACGGACGTTGCATTTCCTCTCATATATGATAATAACGTACCCGCGGTGGACGCGGAATTGAGATCACAAGGAATTTGATTGATTATGATATTCTGAAAGCGTTTTAGGCACCTGTTCGTACAGGTTTGGCTCCCTGTGGTAATGTGGATGCTGGGGCAAGTTGGTAATTCATGCTTTGATAAAACAACATTAATGACAAAGGTGAAGAAGTTGAAGATTTGAGGAAGAAGAAATATAGGAGTGAGTTGTAAGTCAGCGCTGCGAGTTTGTCTCCTTTTGTGTGCATGTGAGTGTGACTGTTCATCCGCGCTGTTCCATCAAATCCCTGTGGTAAGTGTTGAAATAATGGCTCACGTAAATGGTTTCTTTTTGATGCTATGTGCGGATCCACAGTGTTGATATTTTTCCTTACCGACACGGGAAAGGTATTGCACTTTTGATAGTCCCCGCCTTCCGTTGCTCTTGGATGCATACTGACGACTCCGATACATTGCAGAGGTCTGGGATTTAGCACATTGGGCCTCCTATGCCTCGTAGCTGAGCATAATACTGCATGCTTTGTCCGCTGGTATATCTGGGCGCCCACTAACGAGCCTGGGAAAAACGACGCCGAGAATCGGCATTGGCTTGGTAGTTCTATGCAGGTCTTTCTTGAGAATCAGCATAAACGCTTCAGCTTGACGCCAAAGTTACGGTCGATAACTGTATTGGCCAAAACACTAGCGTCAAGCATCCAGCTTCGAGGTGACCGCTGTCGATCGCGCCCTACCGCTAGTGACTCCCAATGCAAAATCACCCTGATGCCGCGAACCCATTAACAAAATGCGAAACTCGAGAGACTTGGAATAAATCTACTATTGCTAAATGAATGTGAAGGACACGAACGCTTATGGAAACGAGAGGAACTGAACGGCCGTTAGAAATGCAGACAAAAACACATTTCGTGCAGAAAACGTTTTTAATACACGCGGATAAAGAATTTTCACAGAAAAGATTCCGTTATTATACTTTAAAACTAAGGAAACACAAATGGTGTCACCAAACCGCGACTAATTAAATGTCGCATACAACGTGGCGTGGAGAAACAAGCGCCAACAGATGCAGACGACAACCTGCGCTTCCGCTCGGAAAGCTGATCCCAGCGCCAGTCCTAGCGCGGCGGCTGCACTGGTTCTGCGCCGCCGCTGCACGACTCCTGCACTCCTCTGAACTCGGACAGAACTAGGTCAGAATTTTCTGGCCGAATCGAACAGACCTAATAATTCGCTGTATGTGGGTTCGTTCTAAACGGGTTTCACTGTGTGCATCACTAACCATGGTTGTGCTGCTTTGGTCGATGGCAGTTGTTGGGCCCATGCAGCTTCCATTACTTGTGACCTGGAGGACAGTCAATTTACAGCACAAATGTCATGTCATGCTAATGCAAGACGGAAGTTACAATGATGTTACGAGGTGAAGTATTGGGCTACTCCACTCGACGCAACTGGCCAGGGTGGTTGCATTGCATTTTCTATTCGTCAAACTCGGGGGGCCAGAATTATGAATGCCTGGAATATGTATTCACTAACCATGGTTGGACTGCTTTGGTGGATGGGTGGGCTTTCGCTCGTGCAGCTTCCATTACTTGTGACCTGGAGGGCAGTCAATTGACAACAGAAATGTCACGTCACGGTAGCACAAGACAAAAATAATATGAATGACTAAATTATGGTGAAATATAAGTTGTGCCCTTCTGAAACAATATCAAATCAGCAATGAGCAAAACAATCAATTATGCGAGCAAGTTTACAGGACACGGGAATAAACTAAACAATTTGCTGCTCTAACTTGCAGCTAGCATGCACTTCAAGAGCGTCACTGAATCCTCACCCCTCAACAACTATTTAAAAAGCATGGAGCACATCCAGACTGCAAAGTAGTGCAGCGAATAAATTGTCTACTTCATTCCCGCGTCCTATAAACTTTTGCTGTTTATAGCACGCGCCAAATTTGATTATCTAAAGGTTGTGTGCCACATTCATTTTTCGACACTGCGTGGGACGGTGCACTTCACATGTAGCACAAAAACTATGACTGTGGTATACAGCCAGCCACCAACCAAATGAGGCTGATGCAAGTGCTGATGACATTCGCCGCATCAATACTGTAACCCAGTGGCGTCGCAAGGGGGGGGGGGGGGGGGGAGAGGGAGAGGGCGGCGGCGCTGGGCGCTGCGCCCCGGGTGCAGCGGTCGGGGGTAGAGCAATTGGTGTGTGTGTGCTTCGGGGTTGGCTTCGGGTGCCACTGAGCCTAGTGACGCCACTGCTGTGACCGCCTTATTTTTCGCATGCTCCATATTTCGCGATTTCGGTCAAAGCTGTCAGTTTCGAAGCAATTCGCGGGTTCTCATTTTTGCGACGCGATGGGATTTTAATAAAGATATTGCACTCTGTTTCTATTTTACGGGAATTGTTCGCGGGATCTATTTTTCTCGAATCGCAGGCGATTTGCGAAACTTATGTCCTCGCGAAAATTAAATAGTTTACAGTATATAGAACTTACCGTGCTTCGTTGCCGCAGTGGTGTGGGCTCCTTGTGCAAGGAAAGTGAGGGTATAGCGTCTTTCCTCAGACGCGGGAACTTCATGTTTTTACCCAGACTCCGGCTGACGTGAACGTGCTGCTCAAAGTCTTCCGGTCGGAACTGCAACGGACAAATCCTGACACCGTTGTCCACAGCTCTACGCAAGACGACGGCGCGCAACCAAATGCTGCGCATTGCTGCATCGGTCGGCATTTTATGCAAACTAACGTCGCCCGATCGACCACACGTCTTTAGCCGACCTTTCGCGCAACCTACTACAGCACATAAACGCGGCATAATTGGTGAGACACCAGTTCGCAAAGCCAACACGAGACGACGCACGAAACCAAAACCAAAAGTCCGCCGCCCCCGGCGCTCGAACCTCTTTTTTTTTTTTTTTTTGTCCATGGTTGCTCGATGCTTGTTACGCGCCCGAGGTAGCAGTGCGGGATGCGTTCAACCAGTGACAAACGGAGGGATCGCTTCAGATTATGCTTTTACGGACGGTATGAAACCTATTAATGCCCAACTACAACTTTAAAAGAGTACCCAACGTTCAAATGAACTTTTTTCATCACATCACACCACCAAAATCGAAACCAAGAGCGCGTCTATCGTTTGAACCAATCGCCAGACGAGGTGCCCGTTGTCGTCACACTTCGACGGCGCACTTTAGTTCACCTTTCTGCCGCCGCCTCGGTGGGGTCTCAGGCGTCGTTCCCGGCGGGATTGTTACCGCGCCTGTTTGCTTGATTGGTGCGGCACCCAAACTTCTGTTCGGGCTAGAACTTGGTCAATAGCATCTGAGACGTGCCTGACATCCATTTCAATCGTCGAATAAAACTTCGAAACTGCCTTCATGGTCCCTTTAATGAGTTTGTGTTAGTTTCGTAAGCGGTGTTAAAGTGCCGGCACAAAAGGCCTGCGCAGCACATGGAAGCAAATGGCAGTGTAGCCTTGAAATCGGAGGCACTTGGAAGTGAGTGGTAACACAGCACTCACTTGTGGCATACACCTCTCGCGTTTACACAATTAAGGCTGAACCACATGCAAGTGGTTTAGCGAGCGACGAGACGAGCGATGGAGATGCCTTACTGTCGGTCATTACGCCGCTTGTTTTTTGGATTTCTAGAAAACGTTGCTCATCGCCTTGATCGCTT